AGGGGGGAAATCATGGCCGCCGGCATGTGCGCGGCCTGGGGGGGGGGGCAGAGACGTGATGAAATAAGGAGAGGCGCCATGACTGGGGAAATATCATGGCCCACGCCATGATATGAAAGAGCGTGTTCTACCGCTGCTGGCGGAAAACCGGGGGGGGTCACTACCGGTTCGAACCCCTCCCCCCCCCCCCCTCCGGAAAACCGGGGGGGGTCACTACCGGTTCGAACCCCTCCCCCCCCCCCCAGTTCATCATGAAAAGGGGGGGGGTCACTACCGGTTCGAACCCCCCCCCCCCCTCGAAAACCGAGTGGGGGTGCGGACAGTGGTGGGGACGGTGTTGGTGGGGACAGTGGTGAGGGGACAGCGGGACAGTGGTGGGGACAGTGGGACAGTGGGACAGTGGTGGGGACGGTAGTGGTGGGGACAGTGGTGGGGACAATGGTGGGCACAGGGGGGACAGTGGACAGTGGTGGGGACGGTGGTGGTGGGGACAGTGGTGTGGGGACAGTGGGAATGAGGTGGAAACAGTGGGACAGTGGAGGGTACAATGGTGGTGGGGACAGTGGTAAAGGCGGTGGCGAGGACGGCGGTGGGACAATGGGACAGAGGTACAGTGGGGACAGTGGTGGGGACAGTGGGGACAGTGGTGGGAACAGTGGGACAGCTCAGTGGGACAGCGGAGGAGTCAGTGGGACAGTGGGGACAGTGGGGATAGGCAGTGGTTGGGTCCGTGGAGACAGTGGGGAGAGTGGAACCGTGGTGGGAACAGTGGTGGGAACAGTGGGGACAGTGCGACAGTGGTGGGGGCACTGGTGGGGACAACAGGGACGGTAGTGTAACCAGTGGGGACAGTGGTGGTGAGGACAGTGGTGCTGGGAACAACAGTGAAGGATGTGATGCGAGCGGTGGTAGGGACCGGGAGTCGTTTGCTGGCGGTGCGTGGGGGGGGGGGGGGTTCGAACCGGTAGTGACCCCCCTTCGGTTTTCGAGGGGGGGGGGGGGTTCCAACCGGTAGTGACCCTCCCCGGTTTTCCGGATCCGGAGGAGGGGGGGGGGGGGAGGGGGTTCGAACCGGTAGTGACCCCCCCCGGTTCCCCGGTTTTCGAGGGGGAGGGAGGGGGGGTGGGGGGAGGGGTTAGGGGAGGGGGGGGGGTTAGGGGGGGGGGGGTTTTGCCGGGGGGGGGGGGGGTTCCAGCAGGGGGGGGGGATTTTCGGAGGGGGGGGGGAGACCCCCGGGCTCCGGAGGAAAAGGTTGGCAATTTTCCACAGTAAAGCGGCGGTGGATCACGCTCTCTCCATGATATCCACCCCCATAGTCATCACCCCCTTCTTTGCCGCCCCTAAGAGGGCCCCAGGTCGGCCCAAGAGAACCCAAAGATCGCCCAGGGGGCTCCCGAAGAGGGCCCCAAGATGGCCGTGCAGCGCTCCAAGAGAGCAACAAGACGGCCTGGAGTGGCCTCTCGGGCTGTCTTGGCCAGTCGAGAACTCAAACGTGCCAGATCCTCAGCATCCTTCAAACACTGGAGGAGAATTAATGGTTGTGGCCACCTGGGGCTCTCCTGGAGGACCTCTTGGAGATCCCTCGGGCCGTCTCGGGGGCCTCCCGATCTGTCTCGAGGCCTTCTTGGGAGCCTCATGGCCTCCAGGACGGCTTTCAAGACTAGAGATGCCCCCCAAGGCGGCCTCTACAAGCGTCAGACTGGCCAAGAGTCGTGTAAGATGGCCCAAGAATACCCCTGAGGCCCCCGAGAGGCCGCATGAGGCCCCCAAGAGGCCTCCCAGAAGCTTCCAAGAAACACTAGGAGGCCTCCAGGAAGCCCCTGGAAGTCCCCCAAAAGCCTTCTCATCCTCATCTTCAGTTTCTCCCTCTGTTCCTCCTGCTCCTCCTCCTCCTGCTCCTCCTCCTCCTCCTCCTCCTCCTCCTCCTTCTCCCTACCGCGCGGACCAAGACAAGGTCGGAATCATGGGCAGCTGGGTTGTGATGCCAGAGCAATGCACGTCATACGCCTCCCCCACCAAGAAGACGAGCCGACGACAGCTTCCTGGAAACGTCACCAACAACTTGTCGAACACCTCTCACAGGCCGCAAACCATCGAGCATACAGGACAACCAAACTGGGAACCGCAAACAACAAGCGCGCGGGGGAAACGCCCGGGGACAATAATAACTACCGTACGCTTCTAGGACGCCTCTCGTAAGCCTGCTCGCAGCTTCTCCAAAGCCTGTCAGGGATCTGGATGGCGCCTCTGGAATGATCCTCCTGAGACGTCTCTGAGGAGCGCAATGCTCTCAGAAGCCTGCGAAGGAGCCTCTGAAGCAGTAGGAAGCATCTCGTACGCCTCTTCAGCCTCCAAGGAGCCACGAACGAGCCCCCAAGGAGCTTCCAAGAAGCATTTTACCGAATCAGCCAGCCTACGAAGCCTCTCGGGGGCCTCCAATGATATGTTGCGTGTGTTACCCTGTCTATACAAACCTAACGAACACAAACGCTGTTAGGGAAAGTCCCGGGCTGCCTAGGAGGAGGAGGAGGAGGAGGAGGAGGAGGAGGAGGAGGAGGAGGAGGAGGAGGCTGGGGAGGAGGCAGCCCCAGGTCGACAGCAAGAAACACTCCATCCTCATCGGGCCTCGGGGTCCCGAGTTCTTCGGCGGCCCTCGCTGGCCCGAGCAGAAGGGGGGGGCCAGGGGGGAGGGGGTGGGAGCGTCCTGAGAATGGAAAGGGGATCGCCTGGGGGGGGGGGCTATGGAATGGTGCCAGAGGAGGGTCAGGAGGGGGGGAGAACAGTAACGCAAACCAAAGAACTGTCGGACCCGAAGTCTCTCCCGACTAACGAGACTGCAGCCATCTGAACCTGAGTGGGCGCAGAAGCAGGAATTCCCCACAGAAAGGGACCTGTTGGCGGGGAAACGCACTAGCCTGGAGACGGCCCCAGTGGAGGAATATCCAGTGGGCGAATCATGGCACCACCCCTTCCCACATCAGACCCCCTACAAGACACTAGGCAGGCCACCTCGGGCCCAGTCATCTAGCCCTCGAACAGGACAAGGAGGAAGAGCAGGAACATGAGGACCATCATGGAATGGAGGAGGAGGAGAACCATAAGGAGGGGGGCAGGGGAAGAGAGGGAGGTGATGGGGAGGAGGCGGGAGGTGGACAGAGAGGAGGAGATGTGGGAAAGCCAAGCTCTACATAACTGCTGCGCGCCGTGTCAAGGATACCTCTCCTCTGAGAGATCCCTCAATGCACCGGGCAGGAAAAACTGCTTCGCGTGTCAGGGAGATCTCCCGTGTGAGAGACCCATCAATGCACCGAGCGGACAAGACTGCATGCTCGCAACGATCTGGCACCTGCCCCCTTGCAGAAGACCACACTCCATACACTTGCTTCGCGCATCAAGGGTACCTCCCGCGTGAGATACCTCAATGGACAGAGCAGAAGAACTGCATGCATGCGACGATCTATTTCGCAAGCGCCTCGATTCGTCCGACACCGCTGGCACAATGAAACCAGGAGGCCCCACGCGAGATCACTCAATGCACTGAGCACACCCGAACTGCGCGCGTCTGTAACGAATGATAGCGGCCAAACGAAGTGGACACCCACAAGTGTTACTCATAGGGCGCATTTGCGATGGCAAGGTCGGGCACAAAGCCCGCACCGGACCGATGTAGGATCCCAGGTCGACCCAACCCCCTTAATTCATTGACCAACCTTCAACTGGCAACTAAAATAAGCCCGCCAGAAATAGAACCATCGGTGCAGACCAAAACTTTGCTCGGGCATACAACGACTTTTGAATCGTGCACACAGCTCACCTTGTCACATTCGCCGGTCAACCATATAATCCAGCAAGGAAGCTGGATCTGCTGATCATGCGAAGCCAGCGTGTGCATACGTGTGCATTCATACAGGTGAACATTATGGGCCACATCTTGTCGTCTCTTCACCACCCTTCCCCTCGTCCCTGCACCCTCCAGCTCCTGGTCCCCCTTCAAAAGAATGCAGACCTGCCAGCGTTCTTCGACACGCCGTTCCACTTGAGGAACGATTGAAAGACATCCCCACTCTGTGACATGTTGATTCGCGTGCTTGGGTGTACGGACATGATCACGAGGTTAAGAGCAGCCAATGGACTTCCAGCCGCAAGGATGGTTTTCCTCTTCGAGCTACGGCCGCGGCTGCGGCTGCGGTCGCGGTCGCGGTTGCGGCTGGCAAGGAGGGAACTATAGCGATTGTTTCGCGGTGGTTCCCTTCTTCCCGCCGCGGCCGCGGCTGCGTTCGCGGCGCCCTGGCCCGACTATGCAATGAACGATGAAGAGTCCTTGCTTTGATCCGGGGGGGGGGCAGGAGGGGAACATGTGATTGGGGGCGGCCAGAGCTCTAAGAACCTTAGCTGCCCCATTGCGCAACACGCAAAACACGTGGCGTATCGATAGGAAGCTCGACACGAGGACTGGCAACGCAGGCTAGGTCCGACGCGATACGTTCGCCAGAGCGTTGGCCAACCCGTGGAGCCACCACGCAACGCATCGACGCGGGCGCCTTGAACACGGGGCGCGCTGCGTTTCAATACGGGCGTATCGAGACAGCGAAGCCGAGAGCGCGCACGCGCGTGAGCAGCACGCGTGCACAGGGAGGAGGAGGAGGGGGAGGAGGAGGAGGAGGAGGAGGAGGAGCAGGAGGAGCAGGAGGAGCAGGAGGAGGAGGAGGGGGGAGGCGGAGCAGGAGGAGCAGGAGGAGCAGGAGGAGGAGGAGGAGGAGGAGGAGGAGGAGCAAGAGGAGGAGCAGGAGCCTCGACCTGGGCCTGGGGGGGGGCCCTCCGCCGCTCTGCCGGGCGAATGTCAGGGGGGGACCCAGCTCGGGAGCCTCTCCCGAGGCCCCTCGGCATCGGAGCTGGCCTGAACACCGCCGGTGCTGTTGCGCAGAGAGGCGCCGCCACTGGAGGAGGAGGAGGAGGAGGAGGAGGAGGAGGAGGAGGAGGCAGAGGAGGGGGAGGAAGAGGAGGAGGAGAAGGAGGAAGAAGAAGAAGAAGAAGAAGAAGACTCGGCCTGGCATGTGGTCGCCGTCTGACCTGCAGCTAGCGCCAAGCCGTCGGCTTGGCTCAAATCTGAAACCTCTCACAGTCGTCTCTCGCGTTCACGATCCGGAGAGAGAGGGGGAGGAGGAGGAGGAGGAGGAGTGGGGCATGCAGCGGGCAATCGAACGGTTTTCCCTGCTTCTCGCTCTCACCGACACGCGCGGATCCGCGCATGCTGCACGAACGCTGGTGCACCTTCTGCGCGCGCAACAAACTCTCCTAGAGCGTGCAAACCACGCGAAAGCATGAAGGCAGGCCACCTCGGGCCCAGTCATCTAGCCCTCGAACAGGACAAGGAGGAAGAGAAGGAACATGAGGACCATCATGGAATGGAGAAGGAGGAGAACCATAAGGAGGGGGGCAGGGGAAGAGAGGGAGGTGATGGGGAGGAGGCGGGAGGTGGACAGAGAGGAGGAGATGTGGGAAAGCCAAGCTCTACAGATCTGCTGCGCGCCGTGTCAAGGATACCTCTCCTCTGAGAGATCCCTCAATGCACCGGGCAGGAAAAACTGCTTCGCGTGTCAGGGAGAACTCCCCTGTGAGAGACCCATCAATGCACCGAGCGGACAAGACTGCATGCTCGCAACGATCTGGCACCTGCCCCCTTGCAGAAGACCACACTCCATACACTTGCTTCGCGCATCAAGGGTACCTCCCGCGTGAGATACCTCAATGGACAGAGCAGAAGAACTGCATGCATGCGACGATCTATTTCGCAAGCGCCTCGATTCGTCCGACACCGCTGGCTCAATGAAACCAGGAGGCCCCACGCGAGATCACTCAATGCACTGAGCACACCCGAACTGCGCGCGTCTGTAACGAATGATAGCGGCCAAACGAAGTGGACACCCACAGGCGTTACTCATAGGGCGCATTTGCGATGGCAAGGTCGGGCACGAAGCCCGCGCCGGACCGATGTAGGATCCCAGGTCGACCCAATCCCCTTAATTCATTGACCAACCTTCAACTGGCAACTAAAATAAGCCCGCCAGAAATAGAACCATCGGTGCAGACCAAAACTTTGCTCGGGCATACAACGACTTTTGAATCGTGCACACAGCTCACCTTGTCACATTCGCCGGTCAACCATATAATCCAGCAAGGAAGCTGGATCTGCTGATCATGCGAAGCCAGCGTGTGCATACGTGTGCATTCATACAGGTGAACATTATGGGCCACATCTTGTCGTCTCTTCACCACCCTTCCCCTCGTCCCTGCACCCTCCAGCTCCTGGTCCCCCTTCAAAAGAATGCAGACCTGCCAGCGTTCTTCGACACGCCGTTCCACTTGAGGAACGATTGAAAGACATCCCCACTCTGTGACATGTTGATTCGCGTGCTTGGGTGTACGGACATGATCACGAGGTTAAGAGCAGCCAATGGACTTCCAGCCGCAAGGATGGTTTTCCTCTTCGAGCTACGGCCGCGGCTGCGGCTGCGGTCGCGGTCGCGGTTGCGGCTGGCAAGGAGGGAACTATAGCGATTGTTTCGCGGTGGTTCCCTTCTTCCCGCCGCGGCCGCGGCTGCGTTCGCGGCGCCCTGGCCCGACTATGCAATGAACGATGAAGAGTCCTTGCTTTGATCCGGGGGGGGGGCAGGAGGGGAACATGTGATTGGGGGCGGCCAGAGCTCTAAGAACCTTAGCTGCCCCATTGCGCAACACGCAAAACACGTGGCGTATCGATAGGAAGCTCGACACGAGGACTGGCAACGCAGGCTAGGTCCGACGCGATACGTTCGCCAGAGCGTTGGCCAACCCGTGGAGCCACCACGCAACGCATCGACGCGGGCGCCTTGAACACGGGGCGTGCTGCGTTTCAATACGGGCGTATCGAGACAGCGAAGCCGAGAGCGCGCACGCGCGTGAGCAGCACGCGTGCACAGGGAGGAGGAGGAGGGGGAGGAGGAGGAGGAGGAGGAGGAGGAGCAGGAGGAGCAGGAGGAGCAGGAGGAGGAGGAGGAGGAGGAGGGGGAGGCGGAGCAGGAGGAGCAGGAGGCGGAGGAGGAGGAGGGAGAGGAGGAGAGGAGCAAGAGGAGGAGCAGGAGCCTCGACCTGGGCCTGGGGGGTGGGGGGTCCTCCGACGCTCTGCGGGGCGAGTGTCAGGGGGGGGCCCAGCTCGGGAGCCTCTCCCGAGGTCCCTCGGCGTCGGAACTGGCCTGAACACCGCCGGTACTGTTGCGCAGAGAGGCGCCGCCACTGGAGGAGGAGGAGGAGGAGGAGGAGGAGGAGGAGGAGGAGGAGGAGGAGGAGGAGGAGGAGGAGGAGGAGGAGGCAGAGGAGGCAGAGGAGGGGGAGGAAGAGGAGGAGGAGGAGGAGGAAGAAGAAGAAGAAGAAGACTCGGCCTGGCATGTGGTCGCCGTCAGACCTGCAACTAGCGCCAAGCCGTCGGCTTGGCTCAAATCTAAAACCTCTCACAATCGTCTCTCGCGTTCACGATCCGGAGAGAGGAGGAGGAGGAGGAGGAGGAGGAGGAGTGGGGCATGCAGCGGGCAATCGAACGGTTTTCCCTGCTTCTCGCTCTCACCGACACGCGCGGATCCGCGCATGCTGCACGAACGCTGGTGCACCTTCTGCGCGCGCAACAAACTCTCCTAGAGCGTGCAAACCACGCGAAAGCATGAAGGTTGCTGATTTGTGAATATCACTTGTACTCTGCTGCGCACGCGCAACGGCATCCATGCCCGTCGTTAGCGAACAGGGCAGTCGCAATGCACCTCGGAAGATGGTACGTATGTATACCAAGCCATGAACTGTCTTACTCCATAGTCCGCCAGCATGCTACGACACGCTGTCGCATGTGAGGAAGCCTGCTTGGTGTCTGGGAGTGTTTGAGCAGCCTGTAGGGCGACTCCCTCCTCGGCGCACACACACACACACACACGCACGCAAACACACACACACACATACACACACACACACACACACACACACACACACACACACACGCACACACACGCACGCGCACACACACACACACGCACACACACGCACGTGTTGGCGATCGCTGCCCCGCGCGCAAGGATGAGGCGGAGAACGTCCCCAAGCCCCAAGAGCTCGCGCGCGGCCAGCTTTAGAAGATAGAGCAAGGATGCGAACAAAAACAGTCACACGCACGCACATACAGACACACACACACACACTCATACACACACACGCACGCACAGTCACCGTCATAGACACAGACACACTGTCACAGACACAGACACAGACACACACAAACACAAACACAAACACACACAGACACAGGCACAGACACAGACACAGACACAGACACAGACACAGACACTAGCACACACACACACACGCACACGCACACACAGACACACGCACACACAGACACACACACACAGACATAAACACAGACGCGCATCAGCAAAGACACACACACACACACACCCGCACGACTGATAAACTGATCCCTCCGTTTTGCTCTCCACGGCCGTGCGTGACCGCCCTAAGACGGCTGCGAGATGCCCCCAGACAGGCCCAAGACGTCCAACAAGTGCCTCCAGAGGCGCCGAGATCCCTCGAAGAGGGAAGACGGTCCGAGAGGGCTCCAAAACACCGTGTAAGTTAGCCCTGAACGGCCCCACCCGAGCTCCTGCATGATCAGAGGACACCCCCAAGGCGACCCAAAAGCGTACAAAGAAAGCTCCAATACTTCACGCTTCAGGATGGATCTACCGAGCATCTTGTGAAGACATCAGAAGAACGTCTGCTCCGACGGCAGCCCCAAGACCCCACGCAGGACCCCGAGAGTTCCCCGCAAACGACCACACGGAGCCCCACGAGTTCCCCGACGCGGCTCCAAGCGGCCCCGAAGATGTGTCAAATTAACCCCAAGGGACCTCCTATAATCCCTCAACAGGCAGCCCAGCAACAATCGCACATATTACGACCACTCCTCGCTAGATCATGGTTGCACTGCCTCCCAAGCGGGCCCTGGGATCCCACACTATGTTTATCCCGAGCCTGTTCGGGAGAGCCCGACATCACCATCATGCGTGAAACCCACCAGCCTTTTGAGCGTAGGTGGTTCACGGGCCGGAACTGTTGCTAAGCGTGTCGCGGCGGCGGCGGCCCAGCGACACGCTATGCCTTGCAAGCGGATCGCGTGTCGCTCCGCCCCGCGTAGCGGGAGGCTGGGAACAGCTCGAGACGCTGACGCTTGGGGGCTGGGACGTGGATGCGGTGTCGCGCCGAAGCGCGTTGGGGCAGAACCGGCGGTGCGAAAGGCCGAGCCAAAGTCCCCGACCGTATGCGGCTTGAGGAGGTAATTATTCCAGCCTCGTCCGACCCTTCGGGGAATGGTTCACCTGCACCCCTGCTTAGAGTTAAGACGATCGTAGGCTAACCAAACAAACACGCCATGCGTTGTCTGAAACAGTTAACCAGGTCCAGATCTACGAAGGTTCTACGGAACAAAAGCCACAAGACAACGCCCAGTCCAGATCCCTGGTTTCCCTTACCGATATCTGGAACCCAGGAAGGTCGAGTAAGTGTTCTTCGGATTTATGATGGGTTGTCCCCCTCCCCCATACCCCCTCTCCTAAGTCTAGATGGGCGTGGTCGCGGGTCTCCAGCGGCCTAAGAGGTCCCAGGATGGCCCCGAGAGAGTCTCAACGAGGCCCCAGCATGGCCCGAAATGGCCCCAAGAGGACCCCAGGTAGCCAAAGAGGGGCTCCCAGATCGCACAAGGTAGCCAGAGATGGCTCAAGATAGCTTCCAACATGCCTCCAAGAGGCGCCATGGCCGTCCCAAGACGACTCCAAGTGGCCGGCCACGGTGTCTCCCGAGGACCCCCCCCGCCCGCCAGGCCAAACTCTTACCACATCCAATCCTGAAGGGCATCAATGTGTCTCACCTGCTCGTTTCCGACGCGGCCATGAGTTAACAAGATGGAACCAAGACGGCCCAAGAGAGCCCCACGAAGGGCCCAGAGAGCCCAAGAGGGCCCAAGACGGCCCCAAGAGAGCCTAAAGGCCACCAAAATAGCCCCAAGAGGGCCCCAATAGGGCACCAGAGAGGCCCCAAGATGCCTCCATGAGGCTCCCAAAGCGTGACGGCACGATGCTACGCATATCGAAGATCATGGCAACTCGCATGGTGCTACTGTTTGGATGGACTGGTGGGGATACGCAAACAATCAAAATCTTCTACTCTGCGCTGGCACGGTGCCGAATTTGCCAGAGGCAGTTGGATATCGGTTGAACCTTCCAGATAAAAAGACGCCGTGGAGGGAGCTCTGCTTGCATCAGGCGATGCCCAACTGCCAGCGAGAAAACACTGCAGACCTTGCTGAATCCTGAATACCACATAGGAAGGATCAACGTGCCCACGCATTGCAGATTCGGCCTCCGCGATTGTTCTCAGAAGGAAATCCTTGGAGCCGCCCGACACGTTCAAGCTCGACCGCCTGAAGAAATCGTTCGCAAATGCCGACATGCTCCTCATATTTTCCGGCCCAGCGAGCCAACGGTGCGTTAAATCGAATGCTGCTTTCCGAGGTGCCATGAACATCCCACTTCAGCCTCAAAGCCGTCTATATTGCGGCACAACTCGGCGCTCAGCGCGGCACTTCCTCTCCGTTTCAACTCTGAGTTTGGTAGTTCGGGATGGTCCGAAAAGCGGTTGGGAAGGTTCGCTCCGCACCAAGCAACGTGTTAAATCGAAGAAAAGCTAGGTGGCCAGTTAAACTCACGGATGGCACGCGGCTGGTCACTGCGGCGACCCGGACGAACTGAAAGGTGGACAAGGGGGTGGGGGTGGGGCACGGGGCAGGGGATGTGGACAAGGAGGGATGTTAGCAGGCAGAAGGAGGCCGAGGAGACAGACGAAGGGGCAATACCACCGTCTGCCCGGCCCAGGCCGACGACAGAACCTCTGCTCCTGGTGCTTGCCGCGATTACCCTCTCAACTTGCGCAACGGCACGCACGTGGCGGATTTCGGAAAACCTGTACCCAAAAACGTGTTCATCTCTTGGGGGCGCATTGTTTACTTCCGCCGCCTTCCGCCGAGCTTCCGCCAGCTTCCGCCGGCGCAGGCAGCCTCGCTTCACTTCCGCCGACCTTGCGCCGCCTTCCGCGGCGGAAGAGATGACAACTCCGCCTATCATCGAATGCAAAGCCTTTTATGGAAAGCTCCATGTGTCGTGACGACTTCAGAATCGGTCTCTGACGCAGCTGAAGGGGCCCATGGACACGCCAGTAAATACACACAAATCCAAGAATTTTCCAATAGGTTTCCATATGTTCTGGATGTTCGTTTTCCCCCCCATTGCCTATATTTTCCGCCACTCTTCTGGGAATCGACGATGACTTGCGCCTGTGCCGAATTTTCCCTCCTGGGTTCTCACGGCCCCAGAATGGGAGCCGTTCCTGGAGAACAAAACGCTGCATACAGGACAGTGTTTAACACATACGAGATATATACATATATATATATATATATATATATATATTGGAGTGTGTGTACATGATTAATTTATGAATGAATGGTTGCATGAACCCATCGTTGTCTTTCATACTAAGCCCCTGCATTCTTCATACATGATCCGCACGCGAAGCATGCATTAAAAAACGGCACCGTGGACCCGTAGCTGTTGGAGGTCCGCGCGGAACTTCTCGCATCGGCGCCGGGCCCCCGCGGCGTGGATCCCTCGGCTCTGGCAGACCGCGGCGCTCCGACGGCGCAGATCGCCCGACGTCGGCCCGCCCAGGGCCACCGGCGGCGGTCCGACGCTGCGCGAAGGGGGAAGGGATGAGCGCCGCGGGGAGCTGCCGAGGTGGCGATTCGACACACACGTATCGCGTGCTGCTTCTCTTCCACCCTACGTTCGGGTCGGGCCTGTCCCCTTACAGGGGGATTCTGGGCGAAACATACAGAACACTCACATATATATATATATATAAATAAATAAACACAAAAACATATGCATAACCATGCAAAGCCATCGTCCCACAACTATGTTTGAAACATTTTTGAATATCCCCCTATGGAAAGACAGGCCCGACTTAAGCGTAGGGTGGACGAGAAGCATCACGCGATATGTGTCCAACCGCCACCTCGGTAATTCCTGGCGGCGCTCATCCCCGCGCTCGCGCAGCGTCGGAGCGCCGTCTGTTTCTGCGTGGATAATTACTTCGTCTAACGAATGCGTGGCACAGGGAAGTCGGAAACTGGCGAACTGAACAGACCATCGTGCACCACGCAAGTCGGCCTCCTTTGGGCATCGGACAGGAGTTAAAGCGAAATACCTAAGATACCAGAAATGTCATGAAGAGAACAACCATCACCCAACCGCATCGGCATCATACTATGATGAAACGGACGCAACGTCACTGGCGCCAGTCTTATAATGGGATCTCGTTTATTGTTATGTACGACTGGGCATGCTGCGCCAGCAGCCTGATCCAACCTGCCACGAGACCTTACACTACTCAAACTCATGCTCCCGCGTGCAATTGTTACACGAAGTCGGTGCTTCGAAAGCCTGCAGCATCTAAACTAGCTACTGGGCGCTCCCATTGCACGCGATGGCGCTGGAAAGTGCCAGCATCCCTTTCTCTAGTCTTCCGACCTCCGAGATCGCGAAGTCCTCCGCGAATTCGTTGTAGAAGGCAGCATACACGATAAGGGGCAAGCCTGTCTCCCACCCGTCGGCGCAAGTTTAACGCCGAAGCGCCGCGCCCACGAGGGCGCCTGACCCCGTCATTCCACAAAACCAGATTGGTCCCGGGGCTCGCTATAGCTGGTCAGACTCGGGATTATAGGCTACGGAACTTTCACGGTGGTGCATGGCCCAGTTGCAGAGGCCCGTCAGCTTCCTTGCACCAATCTCTCGACCTCCACTGCACGGGGCCCTGCCCGTCGCCACCGGGGCCCCGCCCCTGGACGCCGCAAGCGCGCGAGGAGATCCGAACAAGGGGGGGGGGGGGGTCTGCAGCAGTATGTGAGAGACTTCGCGCGCCCACAGAGACAATCAGCCAGCATCTGGCCGTCCACCGCAACTCGGAGACTCAGCGCGGGGCTCTGACACTCTGTCTGGACACCCCGCGGGCGCACTGAAAATCGAAAGCGGCTGAACATGCCCCCTCCCTGATGGAATGTATGCTTGCACTCGGGAACAGCTGGCCCCACAGACACAGCCGCTGCCAGTCCCCCTCCTCGCTTCGGGGCTAGGGGTTCCACTGGGCCGCTCGCGGCGCGATCGTCACCCGCTGCCGCCGCAAGGTGCGAAGTTGCGGATCTGGTGCGGGGGCATGTCGTCTCCATCGCGTTTGCTTCTAGCTTGCGCTTGCTACTGGGACCCCCTCGCCCCCGCCCAGGAAGTCCCCGAAGCTGGCTTATCATATCCAGCCAGGAGCCTCGCGGGCTGTCCCAGACACCCTGCGCCCCCAAACTAGCCCCCCCCCTGGACATAGGAGACCGCGTGCGTCATCGGCGCTTTGCAGCGCCGTTCCGCCCTGTCTGCGCCGCCGCCCCCTCTTCGCATCATCCCAGTGTGCTCTCGCAGATGCAACGGCCCGGCAGGCCGTCTCCACTGCGGGAAACGACATAGAGCGGAGAATATAACTCCACCCCGGACCCCCTGCCGGGAAAACTGCATCGACGTAGATTGCCGAGCGCAGGTTGCACGAAGTCCCGCGGCCATTCTGAGCAAGTTTGGACTTTCGGGCAAGATCGGCGACGTGCTTGGAACCCCTCGCATTGCACGCGCACCCCCCCCCTGCGCCACTCCAGCAGGCAATCATATCTCATGCAGGTCGCCGATCTCCCACGCCCCAAATTCCTTGAGCTGCCCCTCCACCAGCTTCCACGGGCAAGAGTCGTGAATGGCGCGCGTCACTGGCACCCGGGAACCGGCCAGGAACTTCCTTGCCCAAATGGCGTGGGGGACGTAAAGCCTAGACTGGTTCTCCTGTAGTTCGCCGCGGCCCGATGGCGTCGATGGTCCGTTGGAAAACGCGCGGGTCCCGAACGGCCCAACAATGTGCCCAGTATTTCCACGTAATCAACCACTTGGAACGACATGCGCTCTCCGTTGCACGCTTGCACTTCAACGGCCTTCGGGTGCATCTCACCAGGCTCGGCATCGGCAGACGTGGCGTCGCCTGCGGCGCTAGCTGCCTCTGACAGTTTGGAGCTGAAGCCCGCCCGGTGAATGCGCTCGTTGGTATTGTAGATCATTCTGCGCATATCTTCACAACTGGCTGCGACTTGCAACGCATTGCTTGCGCAGATCGAACAGCAAGAACAGACGCTATCCAGGCGAAGCCCGACCACTTTCCGCCCCAAAATCAAGAAGCGCGCCTCGAAGACAAACCGCGTGACCAGGTTGAAAGCCCGAGGTGTTTCCTTCCCCTTGCTGTCGCCCCCCCACGCAATCTTCGAAAAGTCCCGATCACCCTGTCCCGGGGAATGCGAACGCCAGCCCATCGCTCGCGCAGTTCGCGCGCGATGGCACGTGCGATTGGAAGGGGGATGCTCGCTGCGGACAGGGCCTGCGCGATCGCCTGGTGGACCGTCGGTGCGAGAGCGAAGGCGGCGCCGAGCGAAGCCGCGAATGCGCCGTGGCCTTTCCGCTTATCAGACATTTCAAGTAGCTCGCCCCAAACGTCGACGATGCACCTCGCGCCCCCCCCCCCCCCCCCTGGTGAAGCCGAACCCGCGCTGTCGACCGCCATCAGTAACATGAGAACATGAGAAGCGCCTTCTCTCACATTTCGTCACTCGCGCCGTCCTTCGCAGGACCGGCGCCCCAGGTCAACGCCGCCCTGCTGCTCGAGACCTTCGCGGAAAAGTAGATCGCGGCGCGCCCTGGTCGGCTACCCGATGGCCGTCCAGAACGGCAGCCGCCGTCATTGCCGTCAGACTGTTCAGCCTCAGTTTTTGAATCCCCACCTCGTTCTCCTGCCTGCGCGACCTAAACCTCCCGAAAGCGCGCAGAATGGGCTGCCGCTGGGGGCGGTCGGTGCAGCGGCTGTCTCTCCGAGCGTTGAAAGCGTTCTCCGGCGGGATCGCAAGCGCTCGAATTGAAAGAAGACGTGCTGCCGGCCTGAACCGTGTCAATCTCTAGATTGGCGACCATTCGCCGCCTCGATCTTCGAAACCCGCCGCCTTCTACGCGAGATTTTCGATTGGCGAGGAACTCCATCCTCCCATCTGCCCCGGCCTTGCATTTCAAGTCCCTCTCCCTTTGCCGCGCCTGCTTCGCCCGCCAAATCTCATTCCTCTCTGGTGGCGCGTGGAATGGGCGCTGCGCTACGCCCGGCGGTCTCTTTGAACTCGCTCGGCTGGCAAGCCTCCGAGCCACTGAGGCTTGCCGTGCGCCAGCGCAGGAAAGCAGCCTCGGCCTGCCCATCCTCGCATTCTCCCACCCGACCTTCGAGAAGCCCTCCTGCGCGGCAGCGAAGGCTTTCTCATGCAGGGACACCTCTGTCGGCGGCGACGGTAGGGGCGAATGGCCCAGGGGCGGGCATTGCACGTATTCGCCCAGGGGCCTTCTCGAATGCATAGACCAGCGGCGCCCCTGGGTAAATGTATTGCTCTCCCCTGAACTATTCGCCCCTTACCGTCGCCCCTGACACTGCGGCAGTGACGCGGTGGTCGGATTTGAATCCCCGGCGCTTCCGCAAACCCAATATTTCGGACTTCCCCGAAGATGACAGAGGGCAACCACTGCAATCGATCACGCTACGTCTCCCCCGCGTGACGGCCACAGCCCAAAGCTCCGAGGCGCAATCAGATTGCCGACAACCCCGGACAGAATTCAAGAGCTATCATTTTCTAGCTGTCATAAACTGCGAAAGCCGAGGAAACCTATCGGCTTTGTGGTGCGGCACCTGATGCAGGAAGAAATGCCTGGTCGTCTCGTCAAGCTTCATGGGGAAAGACAGAGAGGGTCGCATCGACGCCCGTCACCCACTGTCGCACCATCGCCCCAATTTGCTCCAAGTGGGAAGAAAGGAAGAAAGACGCTCGACAAACGACATCGCATCCTCCCAAGACGCCTCGGAAGCAGGGTCACAGCCGGGTGGGAGATGGAAGCAGATGTGGCCGAGCGTGCCAACTTGCGACGTGCACGGGCACTCGGAGGAAACAGATGTGAATGTATCATCCTTCCAAGAAGAGGGTATCCCTGCTCCACAATCGTCGCCTACCTTTGGACAAATGTAGCGCCCTCTGTGGAAGCACTCGCCCCGCCGCGGGATCTCCAGCCGGAAAGACAAGAATTGCGTCTGCAGTTTTGACGTCGCGCCCGCAACCCTTCTCTCGGACGGTGCGTTCTTCTTCCTCAAGTTCAAAAAGAAGGCGCTTACTGACACCTGAAACGTACAGAATTATGGCCTCCCGATGGCACCGTCATTTGCGCATCTCCATCTCGAGCTCCTGCTGGGAGACCCCATCTCCGCCAACACGCAATTGACCCACACGAGCATGTTGCGCGCGTCCGAGCTAGCACCTGCTTGGACGGGCCTCCGTTCACGCCGGCTTTGATGCTCAAGGTGCATGCCCGATCTCCTTCTAGAGCCCAACCCAGGCTCGTGCCGAACTCGTGCAACACCTCAGCCAGAGCACGAAAAGACTGCAAAGCGTTGCTGGCGAATCGGGCCCAACTCTTCTTTTACCCTTGGGAACCTTCCCTTGATCTGGAGGATCGCACGTGTCTCGGCCAGCCTCGACGGTGCGACTGACAAGTGGACTGTGTATGGGTTGTGTGTGGCCCTTGCCTTGGCCCTTCCAACGAATCCTGGATCTCTTCCAGAGGCCGGGCCTGATGGCAGAGTACCAGGCCTTGGCCTCCTGCAGCGAGCACTGAAGGGTGGACCTTTCCTTGAACTGGCAGATCTTGACGTCCAAATTGTTTGCCGCCCACCGGCCCCCAGTGTGCTGAGGAGGGCACGCCGCAACTCGGGCTGACTGTCGGCCCTGCCGAAGTAGACTGGTCCTTCTGGATATGGTTCGTTTGCTGCTGGAGCTCCTCAGTCTCCTTCTCCAGCTTGGGCAACCTTGGGGAATGCTCCGCCCGAAGCGCGTCGGTCGCACGGTCGATGGCTCGGGCCGTCCAGATCAAGAACGCCTCCAGCGCCTCCGCCATACCGGGTGGCCCGCCAGAAGATGTTTCTCTTGGGCATCGTCCTCCTCGGGTTCCTCCTTCTTGCGGCCCCCGTCAATATCCGTCGGAACTCGTCCTGAAGAAAAGCAGTCGCAGGACGTAAGTGGACGACAACGCCGCCAAAACCTCACCAGCAAGGCCCGACGATGACCCAAGCCAACCGTGACGGTGCACACAGGGAGAAGCATCAAGAGACAGAATTGGATGAGCAGCGACAGGGGATCGAGCAGGGGATACAATACGTGTGCTGTTGGCGTGTGGATGCAGCAACCGAACGTAACAAAAAAAACTCGTGAAGCACTGCG